TTTTTTCTCCTAGAAAAGTGGGGGTTGTATTGATTTTTGTTTTATAGGCACTATATGCATTCTGTACGCCCGTGGGGATATACGCTGCATATTATTGTGCCCCCCCCCACCCCCCGCTCGTCGACATCGCGACATCGACATTATATAGATGTAGGATAGTGGGATGTGGGAGGAGTTCATTTTCTAGTGTTAGAGGTGAGAGGTTAGCGCAGATGGTATCGTATCAATTTTATCGATTGATAAGATTACCTGTCACCCGTCATCAATGTCCTCATCACTAAATCTCTATGATTTGAGAGCGTGAACCGCCTTGAACAGCGACGACGACTGCAACCTCTCCATTGATTCAAGCCCTTCTAGCTAGGTTACCGCATTCTAGCTCGACTCACGGTGATGCTTTCCCAAAGCATCTCATGATATCACTTTGCTGAAAACGCTACGACTCGCTTGATACTGGTGACCGGCTATGAATACGATGACCTCACTATTCTAACGCCCTTTATCCAATCTCATCAGCAGCTCACAAATCTTGTTACCCACCAATAATGATTTTGGCCCTCATCCTATATCATATCTCGAAATCAAGAGCTGACTGCTGCTGTGACCTGCGCTGTGAATATGGTAACCTTTTCCTTCTAACGCCCCTTATCGAATCTTATCAGCAGCTTACAGTTTTTGTGACCCACTAATGATGTTCTTGGACTATCCTCTATATCATATCTTAAAATCGAGAGCAGGCTGATGCTGTCACTTGCGTTATGATTATAGTGACCTTCTCCTTCTACAGCCCCTTATCGAATCTTATCAACTGATATAACTTCCTGTCACCTACCAATAGTGTTCCCGTCACACCCCTACATCACTTCTTGAAATCAATGTCTCACTGCTACTGGGACCGGCGCTATGAATTTCGTGACACACAGACAGACGCACACACAAACATACACACACACACGGACAGACATACTTAGCGGATTATATAGAGTAGGATTACTTTCCTCGATTTATAATTTACCAGTCGGATCATCCGGCTGCCGCCGTGTGTCCTCCTTCTGTTTCACGGCAGACCTGGCTTTGCAAGCACTCTTCCCTTTGGCGAAGTAGAATGCACTAAATGTGCCAACGTGGGCAGTTATTTTATTTTGATGTAGGAAAATGGTTGAAAAAAGCTTAAGATCAGTCACTGTCTACCAACATCTGGTCCCCTTTGCTTACCATAGACTTTCAACCGTGAGAAGGCTGCACCATATTTAAGGACCGCACTTGCGATATCAGAGTGGGTAAAGTTGAATTAGTCTGGATGAGTCCTTAACACTCGGGAAGGGCATAACTGTGTAGTCATGGGTGGCACTAAAAAGGAGAACTTTGCACCGGTTGTACATGTCAAAGTGTGTGTGTCGAACGGAGAGCTCGAATTACCACCGACAAGACGTTTCCACTCCCAATTGTTGAGTCCCCTTCTTTTTTTGCTTCAATTGCGGCTGCTGCCTCCTAACAAAACTAACAAATCACATAGCACGCAAATTTATAAAATTTTTTCTACTTGATGAGTTTTCCGAATTATCCCGTTTCAGCCGCACCCCCCCCCCCGCTCGACGTCATTTCACGTATCTATAGCAAACACTTCAATGGACAGACTTGATTCCGCCGTTGCCATAAAAAGAAAAAGTTCACAAATTGAGCCTCTAATACTTGGCGTTAAAGCGGTAAGAGGTGATAAAAATGTCGCGCAGATGGTATCCAATCCGTTTCTAATGATTGATAAGATTACCTGTCACCAATCGCAACCTTCTCCTTCTAACACCCCTTATCGAATCTTATCAGCAGCTTACAGTTCTTGTCACCCACCAATAATGTTCTTGGCCCATACCCTATATCATATCTTGGAATCAAGAGCTAGCTGATGCTGTCACCCGCGTTATGAATATGGTGACCTTCCCCTTCTAACGCCTCTTATCGGATCTTATCAACTGATATCACTTCCTGTCACCCACCAATAGTGTTCCCGTCACACCCCCTACATCACTTCTTGAAATCAATGAATTTCGTGACAAACAGACCGACGCACACACACGCACGGATATAGCCGATTATATATGGTAGGATTATGGCTCATTTTCATCGTGTTTCTCATATTTATCCTTGATTAACGTCGCGTTTTTTTTGTCGTTTATTTTCGCAGATCTTCCATTTTTCGGTAGTTGTTTGTCCGCTGCTGATCTGGTCCGCTGCTACCAGATTAGCAGCGGACAAGGGAAGAGGTTCGTATCGAGAGCTTTTTTGAATGGGGGGAGTCGAATTCAGCAGAAGTTGATCACAGCGCGATGGCGTGCTCTGAAGCGCGCAGGGTATCATTCCCGCTTCTTGGCCTCACTCCGGCAGTTGACACATTCAGCACCGCGTGAATTGTAAGCAATACACGCGCACACTCGTTCCGCGAGTTTGGCTATCAGGGCACATCGTTGGTTGGGGAATCCCCAACAGGGGGGTCGTATTTGGCCGCCAGGAGAGGGGGGGTCGTAATGAGTGCGGTAGCCAGTAACGAGCGTCAGTGTGCTGAGTCCTGTACAGCGAAACTTGCTTTGTAGAGAACTCGGATATGTAAAAAAAATAGTACAAAACTTTCATTCATCAAACTAATCCGAAATAACTGGAAATATTAATAAGTCGACATCATCTCGTAAGTGACTAAACAGTACAACTCATACTCTGGTTCGCTGCGGGGCGTGTCCGCGATCGCGCTTGGCGCTGAGCCAACCTGTTTTTTTCGACAAACGACAGGACTACCATATCGTTCGTATCAGACGTTTTCCAGCAGTTGGTCTCCTTTATCGGAATCAGCAATTGGCGGAGCACGAATCTGGCGGCGTCGACAGGGACACGCTCCATCATACGCAACGGAAAACACTGTAAACAAGTGCACAGGTTCGCCATGGACCTCCCTGAATCCTATAGACACATTTGCTCGCGGACAGACATTACGCACAAATTGCACCATCCCATCACCTCTGCGCGGACCTCAATGCGCGGCGCATCCAAAGTTAGCATGATTGGCGCTAAACAAACCACATCCTGCTCCTGCTCCACCACAGGATACGTTCTACATGTATTTCTGGCTATTCGAACACGCTCGCTTGAAACCGTACACAGAAAACGGACTTTCGAACAGTTCGGAGTGTTCCCCAAAAATCCCCAACGCAATTATCTCATGAATCCCGGAAACTTCAGAAACAGTTTAAGTAGTTTTTGGAAAGAGAAAATCTTCTAGAGTTCGATACTGGTTTCAGATTCCCAAACTATTGAGGTTCAAGGGAAATATCTTGGTTCAAACCTGTAAAACTCGCGCTGCAAACTATCCAAAAAGTGAACTCCCTAAAAACTCCCCAACGCGAATTTCTGCATGAATTCGGCGACCAAACACGTTAGTATGTTTTGGAAAGATCAAATCTTTCTCTATACGACTGCGTTCTTCCCTTTCCCAAAGGTCCGCTATTAAGGAAGTTATGGCCCTTTAAAGAGACCCCACTTTCCTGAAAATCCGCGCTCCAATCAAACCACCTGCAACCACCTTGCGGCTGGGTCCTGCCCAGAATCCCTCCCCGGTACCTCGGCCTTTAATCAGCTGATTTCGGCTGGCTTGCTATCGTTCGTGTTTATTTTGTTATATTCTTTTATTATTTTTTTCCGCTTTTTCTTGTGTGATATGAGTCTGCTGCTTTAACATATTAGGTTTAGGTTATTAGGTTTAGGATCGATCGATTGGTTCCTGCCGTCGTGCGGAATTGGGAGAAATGCAGAATCTGCAGATTCCGCATTTCTGCATTTCTCCCAATTCCGCGGTTTTTGGAATCGATAGACGTTTTCCTTCTTCGAGAGGAAAACCAAGCCGTAAAAAGAGGGGGGGGTCGTACCGAACCCCCAAAAAGGGGGGGGTCGTACGGGCTCGACCAAAATCCCCAACCAATGATGTGCCCTGTTGGGTATTGATACAATTCACATTTTCTGGATCAATTTCTTCAATGCTTTGTGGATGATTGCCGCTGAATATGTGCTCAATATGTTTTCCTTATTCTACATTCTTTATATTTTGAAATAAGTGTTCATTAAAATTGTTTCATGTACTGTGAAGAATAACAGTTCATAGAACGATAATTGCACTCACCAGGAGAGTTTGCCATTCCCAACCAAAAAAATAGAAATCAGCGGCGAGATTGCATCACGGACTGCTTTGCTCTCAACACCTGATCTTCAGAAAATAATGGTGGTCTTTTATGAATAAATTCCATTTAGTTTTATAATTGTTCATCCTGATTGTCATCATAGTCGCCGTCTGAGTTGCGCAAGTCATCTACTTCCTATTCATCACTGTACTAAAATTAGTCGTCGAAATTGATATCCACATCTTCTACTACATTCTCTAGATCCGAATGTGCAACATAAACCGAGTTTTATCTTCTTTCGAATAGGTTCACGCGAGAATCAAGCGCAAATGAAAGCAGAATGAGCGTGAAAAGGGCATGCGGCACAAAGACTTCCGTTTCGCGATTCATTTTTGTACTGCACACAACACAGTGCGGAGACGCAGGAATTGCAAACGGGAGTCGCTGTCAAAAGCCGCGGCCTCAATGTGTTAATCGCTCCCTCTTTTCTGCGCGTGCGAGCGCACAACTATATACCCCCTATCATCCTGAACTTATAACCTTGTTTCTACTCGTTCCTGCTTCCTTACTTCTGCGATGAATCACAGGTCGTTCTTTCAGGTTTCACAGCTGTGACAAGATGGGTCAGATTTGACCAGGCAAATCGACAAAAATTTCTTCCAAAGGCAGGTCTAAAGTCCGTGTCATTATTTGGAGAGTGCTTCATTCAGTGATTTTGCAGCTGTTGGAGCATGTGCGACTTGCTCTTTGTCATCCGAAATTCCTTGTTGAAACAGTGAGTGAGGACCCTTTAGTAATGACTGATCCCACATGCCGACATCTCCTCGACGAAGCAAAAGTTGGTCACGCTTTTTTTCCAACACACCTGCTGCTATGATTTTGAGTCCCACTGCAGAATTACCAGCTTCTGCGACTGTCTACGCAGGAACGATTGGAAATGCAAGAAACGCGCACTAAACCTCGGAAATCGCTCAAAACTAGCGAAGAATTATACGTTAGTAGTATTATACACTATACGTTGAGTCTCCCTTGTTGATACATTAAGGACGCGTTGATGATCGCTCATATCTTCTCAAGGGGGCAAAGGGTGGTCGAATTTCTCAGTCGACTACTTTAATCTAGTATGCTTTGCAGGATCAACAGCTTCCAGAACTTTCACACAAACAATCGAAGGTGCAGGGAACACAGAGTGAATCAAGGAACTCATTCGAAATTGGCGAGAAGTTATACGTTGGTATGGCAAGTTGTTGTCTTCCACACATTTCCGATGGCTATTAACTGTCAACTGGAGCAGCAAAAGTCGTATTAACTGAAGCAGGCACGAAACTCCTTAACGCGCGATTGTACTGTTTAGGGGTGGTCTATAAAATCATCTGTACT